ACAAAAAGGAGGCTCGGATGCATTTTCAGACTAAAATGTATTGGTTCCCAGTTTGATTGATTTTCGTAAAGAATTTGAGATCATATGAACTGAAATAGTTTTAATATAATTGTTTATGATAATTTGTAAAGTCTTTCTAGAGGAAGTAAACAATGACTCAACTAAACTCAGTATGGTTAAGAATTGGTCTTTTCAGTCAGACGAAATAAACGGTGTGAGGGGTCGTATGACGCTAAACTATCCTAATTGAGTTACTAGGTAGTGAGTGCCACTTTTCGAGGATTTGATGGTGAAACGGTTTCCATATGACTCCCTCTTTGGTTTTTAGTTTAAGGTGCTTTGATCTTTATTAGGTCTTACCGCATGAAATTGCGCTCTTGCTAAAGGTTAAACTAGGGTAATCAACGTTTGAATATTATTTCTATTTCCAGTGACAAAAGGTTAGAAAAATCCTTGCAATCTTTAAATATGATCAAAATAGAATTTTTAGACTCAAAACAATACCACAAGAGTAATTCAACGACAAACCCGACAATAGCGAAACCAAATTATCAAAAAAAAAATAAGTGAAATTTTGAGGAAATCATTTCAAGATACGAAAGAAGTGGTTTTTTTGTTTCTTGTTTGTTTGTTTGTTTTTTTTTTGTGAGTGACAGTCCAAAAGTTTAAGTAGGGCAACGTTTTTTATTCTTCAATTTCGTTCAATTCAAAGCAAAAAAGTTTTGGAATGCAAAATTCAAATTCAAATTCAAAGCAAAAAAGTTTTGACATGCAAAATATTCTGCATGTCAATAAAAGAGTCGGCACTAAGCCAAAGAACTTCATGTACTGCAAGCTGCAATGTACAGTCATTTAAACCCTGTTTAATATTTCATTCCCTTTGAAAAAGTAATGTGAACAGCTCAGTCGATGAGACGGCCAATACCCATAATGGCAAGGTTTCTAACGGAAACATCCAGCAGAACATTAGATTGGTGATACATTCAGTCCATTACTTGATAAATTCAGTCCGTTAAGTTAGTTACGACGGAATGCAACTGCAGGTTTTGTTTTATGTTTTAATCCATACTTGAAGGTGGTTCTATTTGGCTTTCTTCGACAAATATCGGCGTAAGGTACTTCTCGTCAAAACGCGACCAAACTCTGACAAGCCACGACTTTTCATATTGTCTTTTCTCAATTCTTTCTTGTGGGGTGCTTGCTGAGGGATCATTGACATCGATAAGACTCAATCTACGAGCCTTTTTTTCCTCCTCGTGTTCATCAATACCAGTTTTGATTTTCAAACACGAAAGCACAGGCATAGTCACGCCTCCGAAGAAAATCACGGACACGATGACAATGATAAGAGTAGTTGTCAGCATCATTTGTCGCGGGATTGATACCGTGTTCCTGACGGCTAACGCAAACGCAATTGCACCTCGTAAGCCAGAGAAAAACATCATGTGCTGCACGTTAAGCGGAATCTTCCGCGTCCTCCCCAAGTTTAAGAACAGCGACAATGGGTAGACGTTGAGAGCACGCCCAACTTGTATGGCCATGAATGACCAGCCGATAAACCCTACGTTCCACTGATGATTCGTGAAAGCAAACACAGACAAACCAATGTATGAAAAGATAAAGGTTTCCGCTAAAAAATTGAGAAGCTCGAATGTTTGAGTGGTGCGCATTCGTGATTCCTCGGTCAGGTTTTTGTACGTGTAATGCTGTTGCGTTATTCCGCAGAAAAGCACAGCCACTATACCGGACCAATTGGAAAGTTCAGCAGCTAAAAAAGTGCAATATGACATAAGAAAGAACAAGGCCGTCTCCAAGATGGGGAAACTTCCTATCTTGGTGAGTTTCGTGACTAATGCATTCACAAAAGACATACCGCAACCTATAGTGAAAGAACCAACGAATATGGCCACAAAATCTGCTATGGCTTTCAAAAAGGAGAACAGATCGAAATCTCGTAAGTCGCTTTGGTTGTACGCTAAATACGTTTCTATGGCTCTGTAAAGAACGATCGCAACGGCGTCGTTAAGAACGCTTTCTCCGAAAACCAGCGCATACAAGTCCAAGTCAGCGTGAAGATCGTGAAAGATGGCCAACACGGTGACTGGATCGGTTGCCGAAATCAACGCACCAAAGAGCAAACATTCAGCGTAATCAAAATCTTCAGTTACTCCGGTCCAGATGTTGAATCCGAACACCATCGAGCCAGTGACGATACAGGAAATAGTTGTGCCAAAGAAGGCATATGTCATAATGGCGCCTAAATTACGAAAGAAATAACGTTTCTGAAAACTGTACCCTGCATAGAATATGATCGGGGGAAGGAGGACATAGAAAAATATCTCTGGATTAAAGGAAGATTTGGATTCGATTTCGTTTCCTTCGTCCGGCGGTGAGGTGTGGGGAGGGAAGCGAATGCCCGTGAGAGTGTAAGAGTATTCAGTGCCATTGATGTTGACAAAGACGTTTTTAGGTGCTATGGTGATGTTTCCGCAATTTTTAAGCTTGACAGCCAGCGGTTTCTTCTCCCCACGGCTCTCGGAGTATTTAATAATGGCGCCGACTACAACTCCAAGAATCATCGCAACTCCAGTCTCGTGAAAAATCTCGAATCGACGGATCTTGAAAAGCCAGATCATAAGCACATTGATAATCAAGAGCGTGATGAGTATCAGCATGCTGAGGCTATCTGTCTTGTGTGTGTTCTCCATCTCATCTTCTTTCTTGCCTTCGAGTGTAGTTGGCGTTTCGACCGCTTCTGAAAGCGTAACACATAATATGGCAACAGTGGCGCAGGCCAGAATTACGTCCACTTTGTTTATCATTTTATAGCCTCTGAAAAACATCTTGCTACCGCTGCTAGCTTCGAAGGTCTTCAGATAAAAATTGAGTAAAAAAGTATTTCCTGAGACGAGTAATTGACGGCGAAATCAGTGAACGACATCTTCCATGTTAGCTGTTAGGTTCGCCTTCTCTAACGCTAACATGCTCGCTGCGGAGGATATTTCACTAGTTCGTAGTAATCTTGTGTTCTAGAGGTTGTCAAACTTAAACTGGAGCTAAAAACGCGATGATCTAATGACTTTTCGCTTCATAAGCCGATTGAATTTTGAAGGAATAAACCTTCCGGTTAATCAAACATAATAAATATTTAATATGATACCCGTTTTTTCGGTGGAAGTCGATTTGTCCAAAAGCGGAAGAGAGGCAGGTGGACGGGTGAAGCGACGAAATATTAAAAGTAAACTATTTGTAAAAGATAGCAAAACACTGTTATGTGATCTTTAGATCATTTGAGGAGCGGGATAAAACAGGTTCTCTCCCCACGCTAATGTGATGATTTAACTTCCGTCGTGCCAAATGAGGGTGAAGTTATTTAAAAAATGAAGTTATTCCCTTTCTTTCGCGAACCTCCCAATTTATTTACTCTCAAATCAGAAAGTGTAACGTTTTGACAGAAATTTTAGAGCTAATTAGCTGTGCCTTTCTAATGGAAGATTCTTGCTATAATTTGCACAAATGATAAAAACTATATATTCATCTTTACAGAAAAGTCAATCTACCCGTGAAAATCAATTATTTTCATGAATACAAGCCAGATGTTTTGTTTTACTCAGCGAGGCTTGTAATAACCATGAGAATAAAAAAAAAAGTTACAATACAAAAAAAGAAAGCGTTGAGGACTGACTGGTCCATATCGTGCAAAGTACTTATGCATTTACCTTCATGCTAGTTTTTGGAATAAAAAATTACCACTAAAAACCAAAGACTTTTCTCGTCACTGAACAAGAAGAAGTGCCAAGAAAATAATTTGAAGCATTTTTAACAACTTCATGGACCGATTGGTCTCTCCTATAACCGCAGTTATGGCTTAAATTTTCCCGCACTTTGTACAGCATTATTATGACCGTGTGTCAAGACCTTAATAAAGTGACGGCTGAGATCTGGCGCTGTCCAAACATAACAGCCAGCCTCGTCATGAGCCTTCTTTACAAAAAAAAAAATCAATTCCCGAGCAATTTCAATTAATTCACCACATTACGTGCCAAACCTACGGCGGATATTTAAAGGCCATTAATCCCCTCCGATTGACTAAATTTCCGTTTTGGGTTGAGCTACAAGAAACAAACACAGTCACGCGTAAAAATATTGTCATCAGAGCTTTTTCCGGCACCCGGAACCGGTGGCCCGGTTACAGTAAGCAAGACCATAACGCTGCTATTTCTAATACACTCAAAGATATTTAAGTGTGTTATTGTCTCCGTTTTAACAGAAAACGGACAACAAATGTTAAAATAAACACGAACCAGAAAAAATAATTAAAAAAACAAAATTGTCAGCCGATCGCTTGGATCGAAGACATCTAGGTATTTCCCTGCCAAAGGAAGTGAAATGCACTATCTTGATATTACATTTACTGATGGTAGATATTTCTTTTCTAGGTACTAAAACTAACTAACGAAATTTGAAGAAATTATAAGTCTTATTTTTATTTGTAGTAATGAAAATTCGGTCTAAACCACTACATAGGTCAAGTTTGTACAGCGGCTTTAGAGTTTTCCTTCCCTATAATATCATGATAGTGCATACTAAGTAACTTGCTTTATCTCAGTCACTGTTGCAGTTACCTCTGCACAGCAACCAGCAAGTGATTTCATAGAGTGGCTGAGGGGTCAACTCGACGACATGCAGTTGAAGGTTCGAGCGCTTTCCGTCAATTAAAACACATGCGTGTTTTTTTTCTGCACAGCAACCAGAAAGTGATTTCATAGAGTGGCTGAGGGGTCAACTCGACGACATGCAGTTGAAGGTTGGAGCGCTTTCCGTTAATTAAAACACATGCGTCCCAAGCTCATATCTGGAGGAAATGTCTGAAGGATTATTTCATGAAAGCGTCACGCGTTGTGTGACGTGGTGGTAGATTACGGTCGCTCGCGCAACTTAACACCGCGTCACAAAACGCATGATGCTTCACGAAATAATTATTCGCTTTTCTCCGAGACGTGAGCTTGGGACGACTGTGATTGCAACAGTTTTTTCGCCGACTTGTCAGCGTTCTGGAATACTTACGCTTCTCTCGATTGTTCGGTGAAGGCTGCACCACCAAATAAGAGCGGATTTGACCAGAATAAGGTAATTTGGTTATATCAACTAAGTTGAAATTGTTGATGGGCCAACGTAAAGAGTTAAAAAGCTGACCCTTCGAAGTTTAGCCCCTCATCATTGGTCTTACCCCAGCGACGCAGCACCACAGTTTCTTTAGAAACTTACCCCCTTTATTAATTTGATCAGAATAACCCAGGCAGATGATACATTTCCATTAACAGAGTTATACAAATGAACGTAAAGACAGCAGAGTGACAATAACTCTCAAAAAAGAAACAACAACTTTGAGTTTAAATTTACAAGACATGTTTCGACATTCTCATGTCATCTTCAGTTGCAAATGAGCATTTAACTGTTGTACATTTGAATTTAAATTAAGGTACGTTACAAACTACGTGTCAGGGCTTACGTTACATTTGAATGTTAAAAACGCGAAAGATGTAAATAGCGCGCGCTTGACTAGATCAAAAAATAAATAGATAAATAAAAAAAATAAATGTAATAATAATAAAAATAAATTAAAAGACCAAGGAACAACATAATTAAAAGGAAAGAGACAATTCTAGATGTNTTTTTTTTTATTTATCTATTTATTTTTTGATCTAGTCAAGCGCGCGCTATTTACATCTTTCGCGTTTTTAACATTCAAATGTAACGTAAGCCCTGACACGTAGTTTGTAACGTACCTTAATTTAAATTCAAATGTACAACAGTTAAATGCTCATTTGCAACTGAAGATGACATGAGAATGTCGAAACATGTCTTGTAAATTTAAACTCAAAGTTGTTGTTTCTTTTTTGAGAGTTATACAAATGGTTTTCAAGAATAAATGAGCAGAGGAAAGGTAGCTTTATCTTGTCTGCACCAAGGACAAACACATTCAGATCTTTCTCTAGTTTACCTCTCGAATGAGGTTGGTAAACGCACCTATTACTTCTATCTCATACTGCGGTCATCCCTGATTTTTTCTCATTTTGAAGGTTCAAATTGAAGCATAATCGAGGCAATTTAATCTTAGTCATTATTACAATACGCTTTTCAAATTCATTGGCGTTTTTCTGCTTACAACAACAGGTTGTTCACCTACTTTTCAAGATTCCTGTTCTCTCAAGCGTGAATTACGACAAGTAGGGAGTGGGGGTAGATATTTATCGGCACAAATCGCTGTAATGAGACAGCACGGAAATAAATCAATCGACTTCGCCACCTTCGCACCACTATGACTCGTTTTCAGTACTAAAGGACTGAAAAGCTGGGTATATCTTTGTTCTGGGTTCTATGTACCTGAAAGACATAGTCCTATGCGAATGTCACATCACCAAATAAGAGCATATTAGCTAAGCAGAAAAGAAGCAAGGACGGGTTTCTATTCAACAACAAAAAGAAGAGGACAACGAGACCATAAAGCCTCTTCCCGATTGAAGAAGGTAAAGTTGATTCTCTTCTATACATTTCTTTTAAACTCACACCTACAAAATATTAGAGGGAACGAAATGCAAACGTGTTCCTCTTCATTTTCTCTCTAGCATTATTGGGAAAGTGCACTGATTAATCCAGTCTCCTTCAGTTTCTGCTCATGACTCGAATAAGTCAGTTTTGGTTTGATTTCTTAGATGCATTCTGGGCTCTTAATTGGCTTTTGTTTCGAGAATGAACGCGTTCCAATAATCTTTGTTCTGAGTTGGCTTACCTTTTCCAGGATGTCATGAACCGGAAGCTTTTAAATGCAGTGTTTGTTTTCCTGCGACAAACGTCTTTTCATAATGATTCTACCAAAGTTAGGGCTTTGCGCGCTTCTCCTTTTGAAAGGCAATTGTTCTGATTACAGCAGCTTCCAATCAGCTAACCTGTCTGTTGTTACCCAGCTGTTTATTTGCATACCGCAAAATTCACGATGCCACACAGACGAAATTTTCCAGATGCAGTTTCTAAACTTTATGCAGAAATGCAAAGTGAACCAGCTCATTCTTCACAAGGAATGAGACCTTTAATGATATTTCTTATCCTTTTCAATTGTCATTTTCAGTCATGCTTGAAGCAAGAATGGTAATTATTGCTCTCTATTGCTTTGCGTTCTTGAGGTTTGGCTTTGTAGCAGCTCAGACAGCGGGAGATGGTAGGTCTCAAGAGCTAGCCCTATAAACTACTTAGTAACTTTGAAAAATCGTTAAAAGATCTTTCCTGGCAATAAAGCTTATACAATTTCATGGCGAAGATGCATCTTCCCAGCCTCAATATTTTTTTCGGATGTGGAATATAATATGTTAAATTCATGAAAGAGGAAAATTTGATTTTTCGAAAAGAATTAACATCTTATTCAGGCATGTAATTTATCCACGATATAAACTCCGCCATCTTCAACATAGTAATTATTTACATTCAACTTGATAAGTGGCTTGATGATGATAAAGATGCAAAACTGAAACAAAACAAAAAAAAAGACAAGAAATGATGAAGAAGAAAATCATAGAAAAGCAAAAAGGAAACATAAAAACAACAACAACAGCAAAAAAAAAGAAACGCACATAAAAACTACACGAAATACAGAAAAACAATAATAACAAAATTCGCAAAGTGGTTTTCTGCAAGACGCACCCATTAACGAAAATATCGTCAGCAATTCGTAATTTGTTTCTATTGTCGCTTTTGCAGGTTTCTTAGTACTTCTCTTTTTTATCTCCGCATATTTTGTGTTTTCATCAGATAACCAGTGCGACCAACTATTGGATTTTGAGGAAATGAATCAGCTAAACTGCTTCTCAGCCGTTGGAGGCGGTTCACGATCCTTGTCTGTAGACAAAGCGAAGAGTGGTCAGCGTTCTCTCAAGTGGGAGGTAGGTGCCACAGCTGGTTCGTCGGTACTGACCTATACCAGGCCTTCATCATCTATCATTACAGGAAATAAACTCAGGCGAGGTGGTGTTAAGTTGTGGCTTTACAAGAAAGATACTTCCAATGGAAGGATACTGACTGTTCACCTACGGGATGGTACCCGCAGGACTTCGTTTGGGGGTTTTGATGTCAATCTCGGATTTAAAGGCTGGAGAGCAGTATGGGTGGCATACTCTGAATGTAAATCATCGTCAATCCCTACCCTAAGTCCCTTCAAGTTGAGTAAAGTTACCTTTTCGGTGAGCCATAAAGATACCATCTACTTTGATTTGATTGACTTTGTGGACCACATGAGCTTCCAAACTCGCGATAAAATAGTACCTCCAATTAACCAGCCGGGATATGACAAGACTGAAATCAACACCGCTCGGCAATTATATCGTTGGAGTCAAAAGCAACCTACCAATCTTCCTATAGCGGTAGATTCATCTAAAACAGAAGGTCTGAATCATATCGAAAGTCGTCTGAGAAATTTCTATTGCAGTGAAGGAAAAACCAGTTACGATTTCACCGGATTTCTCATGAAACGATGGAAATCACTGACGAAAAGTATTGATAAAGCACACGAGCAATACGACAAACTTATATTTAAAACAGCATCAGATGGGGCCAAAGTGATAAGTGGTCCTTCATTGTTTTGCTATGGCTGTAAAAAGGGGACAACAAAGTATTCCGCCACAGATCAAACGAGAAAGTTCAGCTTTGTCATGGCCAATATTATGCTTCCACTGGCGCAGGAGTACTACTTACGGTCTCGCCAGGGTGAGATAGATAAGACAGTAGAGAAAGAATTAAAGAAACTGAGCTCTTCTGCTTCCACTAAGGTAAGAATTTCTCTGAAACGAATAGCGGGAAACCACAAACCCAGACAGGATGAGTTCCTTAACTACCTCAATTCCAAAGGAAAGCCTTACACCAAAGCAAAAGTCCGTGAGTCATTAGAGTATATGAACAAAGTTCGTCTTCAACGGGTCATCAATTTGTTGGATTACGTTGCAGACCAAGGTTGGACGGATGGTAGTGCCATTGGTTCCATAAGAGGAGATTTGAACCAGAACGGACCTGGATACATGCATACCCTTTTCCTTCTTAAGAATTCTCTTCATGAAAATAGTGCAAATAAGAGCAGACTTCTAAACCTAGTCAGTGCCGCAAAATGGTACAACTACTTTGGAGAGGTGTATCAAAGGCCGTATGAGTACAAGGGAACAAATGCTGATAGAATGATTACAACAATGCTATTTCGTCTTTTGACTGTTTTGATAATGCCTACCGATACCCCTGATGAACAGAGAGCAAGGCAAAGAGACATGGATGCTCTGAAATTGTGGATGGATAATGCTTTAGCCATCAACAAAGCATTTGGAGGAGTTATCAAACCTGATTTTACTGGTTTTCATCACATGGTGTTCTATGCATCCGCATATATACCTCAAGCACTGCACACAGCAGCGCAACTACAGTACTTACTAGAAGGAACTGATTATGCTTTATCGCACTCCTCTAAGAAAAATTTACTTGAGACGCTTAAGACTCTACGGGTGACAGCTGTAAAATACTCTACACCAAACAGTGTCGGAGGACGCTTTCCTAGCTTTTCACGGAAAATCCTGGTCAACATGCTTCCTGCATATGCCTATGTCAGCGTTACGCGTCAGTGTTCAAGAACCCAGAATCCACTTCCAAGAGTACATATCCCTGACCTGAACACGGATGCAGAAATTTTTCTACGATTATATCAGCCTTCCGACCAAACAATATCCAAGTATCTGGGTAGTGGAAGAATAAGTCAAGGAAAATCATATATGAATACAATGGGATCTCTGGATATAATGATCCAAGTAAGTGTGTGTATACGTATATTTTATGCGTCTTTTTTGTAGTTTAAGACAGTATTGTTACTCGGATTGTAGTCTAAATAACAACACAGGTCTATATAGCCTACGCCTGGAGAAACTATTCAGAGAGAGAAGCTTATCGCTTTCTGCGTGCTTTCTCTCTTTCCTACGTAACCTGTTCGAACTTTCATTTGGTGCACCGTAATTCTGTTAGGTTTTTCTACAAGATGAACGATTTTATTTTTCATATCATTCACTTTTTTTTAGAACAATTATATATCCTTTGCTATCTTCCATGGAACTTGAAATGTCCCGTGGATGAATTGAACCTATATTCCTTATGACAGGCACACAAAAAAGCAGTTGACAAGGGTATGGCTGCAGAATCCTCTCCAAATGGTCATTGGTCTAAGAACTTCGCTGCTCTTTCGATACATCGTCGCGAAGACTGGGCTGTTACCGTAAAAGGCTTCAATAAATTTGTCTGGGATTTTGAGATGGGTCCTACAGAAAACCCAAACGGAATTTTTCAAAGCTATGGTCAAATGCTCATTGCTAACAGCGAGGAGTCCCTTTTAGCGCATGATGTAGAGGAGGGATGGGATTGGACAAGAATTCCTGGTGCCACTACCATATCCCTGACTCTTGAGGAAACACGAGTGAAAAAAGCAAGGTATTTCAGTCCAAGATCGTTTGCTGGCGGAGTTACTTTCAAGGGACCAGAGCCATTGTCAAATGGAGTTTTTGGCATGGATTATTACCAACCAGATTACCAATTCATACAGAGTTCTCATCCCCAACTCAAGCTTTCTTTCAAAAAGTCAGTTTTCTTTTTCCAGAACATAGTGGTTTGTCTGGGTAGTAACATAGAAATAAAAAACGGACAAGGAAAAATTGCTCAGACAACTCTATTTCAAGACAAGGTTCGAAGGGTTGAGACTGGAAATCAGATGAAGTCTTTCTCAATCGAGCTAGACGGTATTAGAAAAGATGGTTCAACTACATTTGTAGCAATGGTGCCACCTTTGGATTCAACAAAACGCTACATTAGTCTTCTTGACACGAAAGGTAACAGCTACTATATCCCGCCTTCGAGTGCCTCGAGTCTCAAAGTTCAAATTGCAAATCAAAACTCAAGAACACCAGCAGCTAGGCCATCAAGTGGTCGTTACGCCACAGCTTGGCTTGAACACAGTTCTTCCGATGACAACTATGAGTACGCTGTTTACGTAAAAACAACATCATACCCCAAGTCTGCTAAATTCGTCTGGGATTTTCAGGCAAGTCAACTTAATAACAAAGTATACAAAGTCCTACAGAAGAACGAAGTAGCACACGTGGTCAAATTTGAAATGTCTTTAGTACAATGGCGGAAAGTGAGTCCAGCCCAGTTTGGCTATGTGATATTTTCATCCACCAGAACGCTTCCTTCGGACGGTCCAATTAGATCATCCAATCAACCGTGCCTTATCATGGCAAGAGAAGACGGGGGATTTCTCTATCTTAGCGTCAGCTATCCAGACCTGGCATTTCCTAATTCGGACCATCTAAGGACAATGGAGGATATCGGAGTCCGGGAGTATTACCATGTTGAAAGCCAGGACATCTCAGTTACAGTGGTTTTGAGAAAAAGAGTGCACAAGTCCCTTCCGGAACAACCGGTGGTGCATGGATCACCACCTGAATACTTGCCTACAGTTCAAGTCAAATCGACGAATCCCACGCGCCGAAAAGGCAACAAAATTGTCTTTACCAACCTAAAGAATGGTTTCAGTGTCGAAGTCAAGCTTAGGATTTAGCCGGTGAAGAGGCTCTGCTTCTACCTTAAGCTTGTGAGTAGGTAAGAGGTGCACTGTTAGATGTGTAAGAAATAAGTGGAAGCCTCTTTTGCCGCAATGAATTTGAATACTTTACATTTTATCTGTCTTCAATTCTGATGTTTGCAAAACAAATAAAGAGCATTGAAAGTTGAGATTGAGCGAGGTTTGCTTTTGACTTCAAGACAAGGTTAGAAGGAATTCCAACCCATTCGGGATTTACGTGGACGCCATCATGAATTTCGGTTCATCGCCACTCGCGGCTATGTTGCCAGCTTTGAATAGAACAGAGAGCTACAACATTTTCCCTAACATGTTTTATATTTCTCAAAATACTGTGCGTCTGGCAGCGGTAATCAGGGCACAGAGATAAAAAGCGAAGTAAATATATTCAAAATGTTAGCTTAAGATGCGCCAGAATTTTCTAGAGATTTGAGAAAGCGTAAGTTATAGCCAGTGAGCTTGAAAGGGTCGTACTAAATGGTATGAGACTGCAAAAAAAAAATGAAATCTCCTTCTTTCAGCATCAACTTCACTTTCAGAAACAGTCTTTTCATGCTGTTTTAAACTAAGAAAGTTAAGAGAGATGACACTCAAGCGAGTAAAAAGAAAAAATATTTCCACTCGTAAGAATCTTAACAACAAAAGAATGGAATAGTTGAACCTTCAGCTTACCAATCTGTCGTCAAGGAAATGCCTCTTTCATTTCAACACAGAGCTAAATTTGGATAGAGAGAGCGATTAGAAAATTAGCCTTCTGTCTAGAAGCTCCCTTCGCTGACAGAAGTGAAACATACCCACACTTCATTTCTGTTGATCGAAATTGCGACAGCGGCAATTGTAACTAGATTTCACTGTATTTAAGGTGGCTCGTACCAGTTTCCTCGCGCGGGGAACAGGTTACACGTGCGTGACGCGCGCGAGAGAAACGTGCGAAAGAAGCGCGAAATAAAAAGATGAAAATTCAAAACAAAGATGGCGGCGCATGGAATTTTTTTCTTTTTTTGTGAGAAGTTTACCTAAGAGCTTGTATTTGATGTGTTGAGCGGCCACTGTGAATGCAGGAGATAGAAACTAAGATAACGAAGACGATTTTCGGAGAAGTAAAGGCTTCACTTCACATTTAAAAGAAATATTCAACCGATATGAAATCTTGCGA